TTACTCCTTGAGAGTCTCTCTCTCTAAAGTATTGAGTATTGCTGACTTGAGCGTTGGAGTGTTTTCCCCGAGGAAACAACCTCGGGACTTTCAGGTGTAGAAGCAGCTGAGGACTTCAACAGCGTTGGATTGCGAAGCTGCCGAAACACCTTCCACTCTATAGATTCAAATAAATTTACATTTTTAGTTAAAAATAAAATATCAACCTATACCTAAGTGGTAGAGCTATGAAGCCCTGGCATACGCATATTTGTTAACCTCTCAAAATACACGTCACAGCTTATGGTGCCATTTTCTTTTTTTTGAAGAAAGGATCTAGATTTGTTGATTAAATTTCCATAAACGAGTTGCACCATATACAGTCGACCTTTTGTACAGTTAACAAGGAATTAGATTCTACTATTACATTGCAATACTTATTTTCCATGCAAAATTTGAGGATGGCATAGATTTCCGCACGCATTGCTTAACCTATGTCCAAAATTGCTTGTTGAAACTAAACTGCCATGTTCCCTCCGTCTCTTTGCAAATACCTTCTATTGTTGCAAATACCTTCTATTGCTGAGAGGCTTTGGGATCTTGGTGAATAACCATCTATATTAATTATATCAATTAGAGGCAACAATTAATAGGTCTTTAAAAGATGGTAAAATAAACACACCATGATATATAATTTGATATATGTTTTGTTTGATGGATTTTGTTTTAAAGATAGTTAAGAAAAAATGACAGTTGCAGGAGTAGATTTATTGTTATCCATTAACTAAGCCTTAATTTAATATAGTTGTAGTTTTGAGTTTTGGGTTTTTAGTTTTGATTTTCAAAATTTAAACAATCAAAATTAACAATAGAAACTAAAATTAGAAATTAAAATTACTAACATATTAGGTATAAAATTTTTAAATAAATACCCAAAATTCTAAACTTAATTAAGTCATAGAACTATTTAATTTTATTTTGAGTCTCTAAATTTTTTAAAATCAAAACCAAAAATTTAAAATCACATCAATACTAAACAAATCCTAAATATTCTAATACATCATTTTTTTTTTTACATATATAAAGAATTAATATAAAAGCTTCATGCATATATAAATATTTAAAAAGTCTTTTTGTCATTCCTTATGTTACGTCTATAGGTGATTCAACAAAATAATGCCGAATTCATGCCCAAATTGTAAGAGTCATGAAATCATGGTATCCGCACGTAATGACTTCTTAAAAATCATGTCAAAATTCACAATGCTAATTTTCTTGGATGAAGGCTCGACATTTGTTGATTAAACTTTCGCATGGGTCAAAGTAAGTTGCACCATGGTTGATCTTTTGTATTGACAAGAAGGAATCAGATTCCACTATCGCATTGTTATAGTTCTTTTACCATGTATGTTCCATAGCCTTGAGGATGTTGTAGATTTCCACAGGCATTGCATGACCTGTGCCCAATTACATGTTGAAATCAAACTGCCATGTTTCGCTCCTGATTCCCTACGAATACCCCTTGCTACTTAGAGGCCTTGGGATCTGAGGAACCGTCTACATTAGTCATATTATGTGTAGTATTTAACAGTCCAATATTACTCTATCTACTCTAAAGAGATATAATTTTACTTGTATTTTTTTTTTTTGAAGGAGAGTTATGCAGTCAAGACTGCACAACGAGAGCTGTTAGATGAGAAGTTAGCTACTTGGTATTGAAAGTTGTTCTTTCATCTAACCAGCCTAATTCTGCAGTCCAGTTTGATTTAAATTATGAATTAAGGAGAATACTTGATTAATTATTTAAACAACAAAAGTACATTACTAAAAAAATTAAAAATAGTAACAAAAACACTAAAGATCTTCAAATTGGAAGTCAAGCTCAACTTTCAGGTTAAATGAGGTTAAATCAACTTTCAGGTTAAATGAGGATAAATAAATGAACTCGATTCACTAACAAGATAAATTAAACATTTTCATGCAATTGGAAACCTATGAAGATCAATCCAAGACCCAATCTAAGTATAAATTTTAGCCAGTATTTCTCCCCAAAATAGTTAAATGTCATCTCCTACGCACTG